ATAATAAATTCTCGATGCGCTTTACAGCTATCAATTATACAATAAAAGATGGTAAATCATAATTATACTGAAAAAAATTAAAGATATAAAACGCCAAATTATTTCATGGTCTAAACGAACTTTAACTGTCCTCGGAAGAATAACTGTAGTCAAATCTTTGTTGGTTCCAAAATTGAACTATTTGTTTCTTTCACTTCCAGAACCGAATTCGCAAATTATGAAAGATATAAATCGTCCTTTTTATGCATTTATATGGAGTAACAAACCTGATATAAAATCAATAGAGAACAAATGTGTCAAATGTATAATAAAGGTGGGGTTAAGATGATTGATATTTACATTCATGCTAAATCCCTGAAAATATCATGGATTAGAAGATTTGTGACTGATTCTAAAGATAGAAAGTTTCACTTTCACATGTTCAATTCATTCTTGCCCCAAACCTATTTTTTCACCTGTATATGGGCTCACATTATTTTAGAAAATTAGCAGACTTGACTCCAAATCCATTTTGGAAATAGGTACTTTTCGCTTGGTCAGACTTGGTCGAACTTCTTATTGACGACTTTGCAAGTCAACCTCTCTGGAATAACCCCCACATTAAAAGGAATGACAAAGTGGTATGTTTTGGGGCTTGGAATTTACGAGGAATACGTTTTGTGAACGACATGCTAAAAATAGATGGTTCTTTTTTTCATATTTTGAGTTTCAGCGGATATTTGACATGCAAACAAATTTCCTCCAGTACTATGGTCTTTGTAATGCAATTCGGTCAGGTTTTAAAATGACTACATATGTAGCTCTTAGTAAGGCATTAGAACCTATCATTCCCGAAGCCGTGCACCTTGTGGTGAAAACAAATGTTGGTTGTTCACATATTCATCAGTCTTTGCTAAAAGAACAAAGTAAAAGAATGTAAAGCCCTTACAAAGTGGAAAAGTTTTTTAGATTTTCAAGATGTACTTTGGGGTTCGTACTGTCAAATTCTATTTCAGTCAACAATAGATATCAACATGAGGTGGTTTCAAATCAAGATTTTAAATAGAATATTATATATGAAGGACAGTTTGTTAAGATTTGGTGTAGTGGCTGACAAGAAGTGTACTTTTTGTAGTAACAGTGATGAAACTATCATACATGTTTTTTGCTTTTGTAACTGTTCTAATGAAGTATGATCGAAGTTAGAGTTCTGGATATTTCGTAATACGGGGGAAAGGATCAAACTTACAAATCAAAATAAATTGTTTGGATTTTGCGGTAGCAATAATAATGAACTCAACTGTGTTTTCATGGTTGTAAGACAAGAAATATTTTCAGCTAAATTACGAAATCAACTACCATCATTTGATATAATTTTTTCAGCTGTAAAACGTTATTATGAAATGGAAAAATATATATACCAAACAAATCTCAGAGAGAATAAATTGAAAAAGAAATAGTTTCACTTTAGAAATTTTTTTGAGGGTGTTGGAAATGTGCTAAAATAAACATGATCATGTATTTTATATTGTGTTTTTTTAAATTATATATTTAAAGTAATAATTTTGTCATAAATGTTTGTTTTTATCTGCCACAAAAGTTTTCGGCCGTGATGATTATTATCTGTGTTAAGCCATAATGTATGGAAATTATTTATTTAATTATTTGTATATGATATATGGATATACTGTTTATGATGGAACTTGTTTTGAAAATAAAGAACCCTGTGGAAGGGAAAAAAATAATTTAAAAAAAAATTGTACAATAAATTACATGATTTATCTAAAGATTTAATTATGCATGGATTAACATAAATACATATAGATAGATAGATAGATAATGGTTTTATTGAGAATAAAAGAACAACAATGCATCGCGGCCTACAAGGCCGAATTGGGCAATGTTTTACAAATGTAAAATACAGTATATAAAAACATTCATATCAAATAACCTCAAATTAATGAACTAAACTTGAATGAGTAGATTGTTTAAAAAAACAATAATAACTTTAAAAAGCTTATTTCTTATTATTTGATCTCCCTAACTCATTTTATATATAAAGGATATAAAGAGAAGTGAAGAAGAACATGATGGTGGTGTAGAGTAAAGAAAGCAAAGAAAAGAGGATGGTAAGATTAAGAAGAGGATGAAGAGGAAGGAGAAGAGAGAAAGTAGAAGAGAAGGAGGAAGAAGAAGAAGAAGATTCAGGTATGGATAGTAAGATGATAGACAGAGGGTAGTGCGAATAGTAACACTATCATAATGTATCGATATCAATATTCAAGCATTACACATTATACAAACTACTAATGATATAGGCGAAGTTATGAAGAAAATAAATACTTATGTGAAAAATTGTTCTAATTTAAAAAAAAATTACTCTAGGTAATAGCTACTCTAAGGAAAAAGTTATAATATTTCAACCAGACTATAACAAAGGAGAACCATTATAAGAAGCAAAAGCAAAAGGAGAAGGAGGGGAAAGTGGATTGAGAAGTAAGGATAAGGGTAAGATGAAGAAAGGAGGTGGGAAAGTAGAAGTGGTAGAGGAAGAGGAGACAACTGTAACATTGGCCATAGAAGATAATTTCAGTCATTTAAACAATTTAAAATGTATACAATGATGACAAAATCAAATATAATATAAATAATATAAACTTATGAACACAATTATAACAGTTAAATAATTACGATCTTTTATTGTAGTAAGAAAATAACATTATTTGACATAAACTAGCATATAATTACAGACTATTGGATGAACATAAATGTCTTCAGAAGTGATTTAAAGTGATTTAAATGCATATATATCTTAATGTTTGTTCTCTTGAAAGTTGAAAATAAAAGATCAGGTTCGTTTCATTTTTTGTTAAACACACAAAGAAAACACAACATCTTCAGAATCTAACAATTCACTTCACGTGTTTCAGTAGTAACCACTCTTTGTACTTCACTGTATCGAGAATAGCGCCACCTGGTCGTTAATTAAATAAACATCAGATTCAATTTTTCTCCCGACACTCATCAATATGTCAGGCAAATTGGAAACTCCGTCAAGAGAGTCTGAATGTGTAATGTCATTAACAATTGCTATGTTCTCAAAAATATAAATTGACTATATTATTTTTTTTAAATATTTATTTGTGCTTTTGACAAGCTCATACATAAATCAATGATACTGCATTTATGTACTTTTATGAAGTACACGTATTTTCTGTCATAAACGAAAAGAAAGTATTTTGGTGAAATTGTGTATTCATGAATATATGTTAAATGTTATAAAATATCCCCTTTGTCATGTTTCTGAAATAACAACAACAAAAAATGTTTCTGAATTTATTGGTGTGTGAGAAATATGTAGAAATATTGTTTTCTCGGTTGAAAATTAAAGATAAGAGTTTACAAATTTACTGGGGAATGAAGATCATCTGCACACTCTGTTGGCTTTCATAAAAGCTACGAGTAGATACCAATCATTATAGCTAAGGGAAAGTATAGTTTAGCACAGTTAACCCATAAAATACTCGCACCCTGTTCATGGTCGACACCTAAAATTATTGCCCGCACCATCGAATAAACGGAAGCTGCACAGTACATGATACCCACTGAAGAGGAAAAGAAACAGCGCCATCTAATCATCAGTGATGAACAACTAAAAAAAAAAACAGCACAGCCAGGCAGCAATAATCTTTTTAGATTGGTCAGCCTTAAAACCCAACAACAACAACAACAACAACAAGTTTCTGAAATAAATGAACATTTTAATCAGATTTCCACCCAAAAAAATTCTTTTAAATTGTTTTTACATATTTTTTTAATCTGTTTTCTTATCTGCTTATATTAAAAACAAGCAGGGCTAGGATTGACCTGTAAACTTTTTTCACAGACACTCAGTAAATAATCTATACAGGCAAAATTTCCACAAGTGTGCTGTAACAGAAAGTTATTTCATCACATCCGACTCTTCAAACAAAAACTGATAAAAATCAATCTGTTTTAAAATACAGGATTGTACAGATATTGCCTCATTCCCTCCCCTCTAGATTACAGAATAGCTTACCTACTCGTACATTTACATTTTCTAAGCCTTGAAGCTAAATGAACATTTATAACAATCAAGTGAATGAGCAGATTATATTATAAAACCTGCTTTGTTTTCTTTCCTATTCCTTGAAATAAAGAATGCCCTTGAAATGTATTTTATTCAGATATACAACAATACCAAATGCCTCTGTTAAATTTGATTTTCAGTACGACATTTTTATCCAACACCTAAATCACGCATAAATATATCTTTCAAATACATTTCCACTTAAAATAAGAAATCAATCAATTTGTTGAAAATTGAATAATGCAACAGTTTGCAATTATAACATGCAAAACGTACATACAAGTATGAAATATCTTTAAAGAGGTCAGAGCCTACAACTATTTGAATAAAATGCAGACGTGACTGTTTTTGATTCACGTTTAACATGATAAACTTGAGTTCTGGTAAAAAAGAAAATGAATTCTCACAGAATCTAACGAAACTTCCACTGAATGTTCAAGATTACAAATAAATGTCATGTGCTAAACAATTTTGGAAGAAAATGTATACTGGCTGAGTAATGAGCATAGAAAGATAAGGATATCAAGGTAGTACTGTCCCCGATACCATTTGTGTTGTCCCATATACATCTTTCTGTGTAAAGTGATTGTTACTTTACCAAGACTGGGCCAAATGTATGATGATTTGATGACTCCAGAACCTTGCAGTACCCACCAATACTTACATGCTACATGATCAACTTTTTATGATCCATTCCACACCTTTTCTTATTCTGTAAGGGCTTTAATTTTTCGATCTAATCCAAACTATTTTAGTTTAACTTTCATTAATTTGCAATCCTGAAGAAGAAAAAAAAATTAATCACAGGAAGGGAACTGTTCAGAGACTCGTTTGAAGTTAAGTAATGATAGCATCCCAAGAGTTTTATATCGCACTTGGTAAACCATCAGATCCAACAATAGAACTATATTCATACTTCTACTGTTGGATCTGAAGGTTTACCAAGTGCGATCAGTTTCTTTTCCGATGACAAATCGGGGTTCTGGGTCTTCGTGTGCCAGACTAGTACCTGGTTGAAAGAAATAAAGAGTAAAAATAATATTTCATAATTATAATAAGACAAATATTATCTTAAGCTATTCATTGCCAAGGTATATTCCATTACAAGAAATATTCCTTAGTGCTTCCAAACTCCAAATTAATTAAATTGTTATCCCTATTTAACCTTATATCTCTGATCATGATGAGGCATTGAAACCTTCGGAAAAAACATTGTCACAGTACCCATTTATTAACTTGGGTCAATGTCTTGCCAGCATACATTTGAGCAATGGGAGGTATGTGAACCCCACAATAGCCTGACGAATTATCTACTTGACATTATCACTTCTCACTTGATTTGATTTGATTTGATTTGATTTTCTTCTGCATTCATGTAAGTACAAAGTTTTTCGATATTAAACAATAATAATATAAGTACAATAAAATATTTTTGTGACAATTAATCATAAAACTTGATTGTTCAGCGTATTTCGTTGACTGGACAGACTGCCTAGATTATAAGTGTTGGTAGATCTGAAGATCAGTCACTCATTTATATCAGGATTTATATGGACAATCATTACAGCATATAGATACCTTTGAACAATTCTCTGCCCGAGGCTCCAAGTCTTCCTTCTTCAACCCTAGCTGAACAAGAAGGGTAGGCTCCACCCAACCCGGCCTTGATTTGGGGTCAAACCTAACATGTGACTGCTGCCTGAAGTATTTCAGACTCACTGCAAAGCCAGCCATGTCAATTGCAAAGGCTCGATCGGGTGCATACATTGTGTGCCATGAGGACACCTTTCCTGCGTCATTTAAGATAGGGCTCTCAAAGCGAATCCCACCAACTAGTCCCACAGGCCATATACTGACCTTTTGAGTTGTTCTCATCTGTAATAAACATGAAAAACATGGGAGTGAGTTCTGCAAATAAAACGGGGCTTTCATCCCCCATACATGCAGTCTCAATATCAGTAAGTTTGAATATTTTTACCTGCTAGACCTTTAAGGTACTATGTCCCATTTGCAGGCCCCCCAAAAAATGAAAAGGTTATTCTTCCAACGGCATTTGAAAGAAAATACTAATTTAGAACTTCCCTAGAGAATAGGGGGGCTTGAAAATGTCTTTAAGTGGGAAAATAACGACTATTAGCTGTTGAATCGACTTAAAAGCTATAGAGCCAGTAAGTAATAATCTGATTAGGACACTGCTAGCGTTTAAATTTCACAGATAGGACATACATGACATATTCATAATTCCTGCAAAGTTCTACAAAATTTGATGTTGGCTGCAAAAGGGACATAGTATCTTTAACATATTCACAGCAGGCAAAACAATTATTGTCTGCATGAAATGTATCCCTTTTTGCCTGTCATGTATCACGTTCACATAATCTCTCTCTCTCGCTTGTCATGAGTGAATATCTTATTATAGCTTATTTTCCTTTTGTTCCACACTTAAATATCTAATTCTGAACTCTCATTTCCTTCTGTAAATTATGAGGTCATGCTCTTAGTACCTTCCTTTACAATGACTGATGTTATTGAATTTCTTTGGATGCAAAGCTTATATTCTGCCCATTTATATCAAGAAATATATTACCCTTTCATTCTAATGGGACTCAAGTAGGATCCGTTCCTTTACAGTACTAAATTTTTTAAATTAGATATCAGAAATACTCTTATCTACCTCTTCAAAAAGACGCAAGTTGTATGTGTTGTCATCATCTGCAAAGTAGACTACGCCTTCCTGATCTCGAGTAACATTCTCTAGAATCCAGTCAATACCAATATTCCTCTGAGGAATACCCCGATGAGTCGTCTTGTCTTGTTTTTTGACATTCAGGTGAGTGTAGGTCAGTCCAGAGTTTGTCAATAATCTTGACACAAGCTGGGTCTTCTTCTCGGTATCCTCCACCACAATCCAGTGGAAGTTGCTAACATGGAGAAAAGTCTGGCTCACCCTCGTCAGCTCCGCCTTCTGAACCGGCCTGGTGTAGGTTGGTGTAATGGCATAGATAGTCGGAATCGTTTTTGAGTCTCGTTCAACAGGGCTAGTTTTTGAGTCTCCTCCAACAGGGCTAGTTTTTGAGTCTCCTCCAACAGGTCTAGTTTTTGAGTCTCGTCCAACAAGGCTAGTTTTTGAGTCTCGTCCAACAGGGCTAGTTTTTGAGTCTCGTCCAACAGGGCTAGTTTTTGAGTCTCGTCCATCAAGGCTAGTTTTTGAGTCTCGTCCAACAAGGCTAGTTTTTGAGTCTCGTCCAACAAGGCTAGTTTTTGAGTCTCGTCCAACAAGGCTTGTGTTTGAGTCTCGTTCAACAGGGCTAGTTTTTGAGTCTCCTCCAACAAGGCTAGTTTTTGAGTCTCGTCCAACAAGGCTAGTTTTTGAGTCTCGTCCAAAATGGTGCGTTGTGCATCCGAATCCTACAATGACAAATCATGAAAGAAAGAGAACCAGTTTAGTAGCCAGGTAATTGATAGCGTAGTATACCAGTTAAGACCAAACCGGTTTAAGACTAGTGGTCAAAATGCATATTGACCACTAGGGGCTCATATCGCATTAGGAAAAGGTACCCTTAATGGTCATTAGAAAGAACTTCTAATAAATCCAGTTATAATATAGTCAAAATCATGTTAAAAAGGAAGAAATCCCCCTGATATTTTTCATTGTCACATGTTGTTGTTTTTTCCAGTGATAGTTTCAGCACACTCAGTCTGTAGCGAGCACACACAAACTCTGACTTTTTTGTATGTGTTTGCAATATAGGGACAGATGATTTTTGTCAAATTTATCTCGGATATTCAAGCGCTCGCCCAATATGCTTTGGGACCAAGTATTGCACATAATGAATACAAAGCGGTACTTCGCCACAATTGGCAACAAATTTCGGATGAGGATTTTCAATATTCTGTTTCCAAAGCTCTGTGAGTTGAATTGATTGTATTTTATAGCTATATTACACCAATCATTTTTTTCTTCAAATATGGTCAAACTATACATCAAGTTTTTCCGTTTTAAGCGTAGCAAATTGGTACCCCCCCCCCCCCCAAAAAAAAGAGAAGAGGGGCATGCTGGGACTTCACATATTAATATTATAGCCACCACACTTAGCTTGACGCAATAAGAACTGTTAGGCGGGCCTCATGAAGATGGACCTTCATAATTAATGGATTTAATGAATTCCGCTCAGTGAATGATAAAATAATTGATTTGGAGGTTGAAATATCTATATTTCTGATCGACTAGGTATAAATAGCTAGTAAGAGATGACATCAGTTCCATTCTATTTTAGTTCCATGGTTGCCAATTGTTCGCTGCCAATATTTTACTCCAAATAATTGTCACATTTTTCATTTTTGAGTATTTTGTACCAATTATATATATATATATATATATGACCTTGAAATTCTCTATTTTCAGAAAATGATTTTTTTTTTTTTGGGGGGGGGGGGAATGACGAATGTGGCATTTAAAAAAACAATCATTGTCATTTGGCAAGGTGTCACTCTTGCTTTTTCGTAACAAATTTGCATAGACAATTTAGGGTCATCAAAAATGAAACTTTACCATTACAGTTTACAACTACAATGCAATCGTGTCACAACGATATGCGTGCAATGACGCCGTGTTCTACATGTCAAACGAAAGAGGTTATCTCGGCCTATCCAGAGTAATTTGTCAGAAGTATGTAGCTTCTGTGATTAGGTATATAGGGCGAAAGAAAGGCCTCAAAAACGGCCCGACTGGTCGGACAAAATGGCGCCTGGAGAACGAAGATTTCAGTGACCTTGATGGGATGCTAGAAAAAAATTGGGATAGAGGAAGGGAACTATAGAAAGCGCTCACAAGCGCAGCGAATGGGATTGTGCATATTGCTCCGGTTGTCTCGTTTTCGCTCGCTGGATCACTGCCAGCACAAATAGCTAGTTTTACGTCACTTCCAAACTCAGGGGCGGATCCAGCCGGCGGCAGGGGAGGGGGCCCAATTCGTGAGAAAATATTTAGCGGCGAAATAGCCGGCCGATAATTCGCATAGTGGGGGTGGGGGTAGTGAGCTCTAATTTTTTTTAAATTTTTGCTCCCGAAAATTTGTAAATCGTGCCGGCCGATAATTCGCTCAGCCCCCCCCCCCCCCCCCCCCCCCCCCCCGGGATCCACCACTGGTGTCCAACAATAATTTCTCACAAAATAACTAAAATTTCTATTGCGCAAATTGTATGACTCCGGAGAGTCTTTGCATTTTAGAGTACCTAGATTATATGCTTTCCATAATTCTCTCATTACCTTAGCCTGCTTATACACTTTTTCAATTCAATGGACTTGAATTTCTCTGTGAATTAACCTGTACAACTATAATTACTTTTACATCATTTATCTCTAATATTTTCTTTTGAAGAGCACCTAAAAAAATTGTAAAACAAAGGTGTTTTTAGTATTATTATAATCAAAAAGGTTTGATTGTCATGCACAATGTTATAATCAAGAACCTAAGGTTACCTGTTTACGATTCTATTCCATATGTTGTTTTAATTATTACGATAATGAGAAAGGTTTGATTGTCATGCACATAATCAAGAACCCAACGTAACCTGTTTACAATTTTACTATTCCAAACGGTGTGTTTATTGTAGCTTGTTTTATATGCTAAGGAGTATAATCAATCCATCGGAGTGAAAACATGATTGGAATTAGTACATACAATCCATGATTGTGCAAATCGATATCTGGGGCAGGCTACGTTCGGTCAGATTTTAGCTTTATATTCAAACAACGTTTTGCGTAACTTTTTAAAGTTTTGTTAACAAAAAAACACCTATAGACGCCCTGTATATATTTGAAATGTTGGTTTATTTTGCTGAGAGAATATAAACAAATTGTTGCTGAAACATGTTCAAGAAAAATGGTCTAATGGAAAAAGGAATAGATTACACTTTTCTGCTCATTATTGAATGCAGGGAGGGGAAGTCCAACCTGATATTACGTTAGCATCATTAGAAGCAGAACAATAATTTGGGTTTTCTGTTGTACGCAGAAAAATCTAAATTTTGTATTTTTTCATCAATATTCGACTTTAAACGCATTTGTTTTGAAAACCCTCGCAGAAATTCTGCGAGGGTTTTCAAAACAAATGCGTTTTAAGTCGAATATTAAGGAACCCCAAAAGTTTGATGGTAAAATTTGACTCAAATTGTATCATAATGTGAAAGAGGATCTAATTTATTTTAGATCCTCTTTCACATTATGATACAATTTGAGTCAAATTTTACCATCAAACTTTTGGGGTTCCCAACGCTGAAGAGGCTCTACACCAGTCGCGGATCCAGGATTTCTTAGGGGGCCCAAATTTGAAATTATGCGAGCCAAATATCAGTACGTAATGGTGACCTGCATTAACGTAGTGGGGTGCAGGGAGGAGCGATTTCCCCCACCCTCCTCCGCAAAGCGCCGAAGCTTTGACGTTTCATTAAAATTATTTAAGAAAAAAGACGATTCGTTGTACCATTCTCGGTAAAAAAAATGTTTTTTGTCTGCTCCTTTTTCTTCCTACGTCCTCTTCTTTTTCTCTCCTCTCTTTTTTTTGGCCGGTGTTTTTTTTTGGGGGGGGCGCCTCCACCGCCCCCATGGCTACGCGTCTGCGGTCAGATGAACATATTTTGATACCTTGTCCGCTCCCAGAAACTCAGGGTATTAAGGCAATAAATTACGGTCAGACAAGCATTCAGGGGCCGCCTTAGGGGCCCTGGTGGGGTCGAGGGTGCGGAAACCCCGGAATCTCAGGGGTTTTAGGCATTTGATTACGGTCAGATGAACATATTTTTATATCTTATTTGTGACGCTGGTACGACACTGATGGGCGTGAGGTCGAGCGGGCGGAGCCCCCAGAAGCTCAGGTGTTTTTAGGCATTAAATTACCGTCATATTAGAATCCTGGGGTCCACCTTAGGGCCCTAGGTGGGATCCAGGGGGCAGATCCCCCGGAAGCTCAGGGGTTTTAGGCATTTGATTACGGTCAGATGAACATATTTTCATACCTTATTAGTGACACTGGCAGGACACTGATTGGCGTGGGGTCCAGCGAGCGGAGCCCCCAGAAGCTCAAGCGTTTTAGGCACTAAATTGCGGTCAGATGAGTATCAGGGGGCCCGCCTTAGGGCCGTTGGGTGAGTCCAGGGGGCAGAGCCCCCTAAAGCCCAGGGGTTTTAGGCGTTTAATTACGGTCATATGAGCATTATGTGTAAACTACCGTAACGGTTATGAACTAAGAATATACCCCCTCCCCGATCAAGACGCCAGTGCCCCGCCCCCCCCCCCCGATCTACACTTTGTTGGCGGAAAAATCGCAAGTGATCTCCCCTACCTTTCTTCTTTCTCTTTTTTTTTTCTTTCCCTTTCTCTCCACATTTTTTTCTTTTTTGCCCCGGAAGTTGGAAAAATTACGTCTTCAGATATTTCGTTCAGTGGCTCGGGGGGAAGGAACACTTTTTTCAACAACAAAAATCTTTCCCCTTTTTTTTTCCTTCTTTTTTTTGTTCCTTCTTTTTTTTCCCCTTTTTTTTTTCTTCCCTTTTTTTCCTTCTCTTTTTCCCCAGGGGGGGGGGACGGGCCTCCGGGACCCCCCCCCCCCCCTGGATCCGCCACTGACCAAACTAGCTAATCAGCTGTCACTGACGTCGTATTGTACGCGGCGGCAAATATATTTTGTGAAATTATAGAATAATCGCAAACTAGTGTTTTTTCTGTATGGAAACGCAGCCATTGTTATCTTGGAATGCATTCAAGTCATCAGAAGAGGGTAAATTACGTCTTACATGATTCAAGGGGTATATTTTGCAGGAAAATTGTCAATTTCATAGAATGTTCCACTATGATGCAGGGTGTATGCCATTGGGTATGATGTGTGAACCCGGTGTGCGGAAATGGTGTGTTGGGGAGGGGAAGTGAGAGTGTTCGTGTGTGTGGTAATTGTATGTGTGTCAACAATTCAAAACTAGTAAATGACAGATGGCTAATCATAAATCTACAATGACGAATAAACTGTCTACATCACAGTCGACAGATAAATATGTGCCTTGAACGAACGTATATAGCAGACGGCGGAGCAGACGACACTTGATAGTGATTTTGTATGTGAGATTGCTTTGCTAAATATAAAATACAAGAGCCTTTTCCATATCTTTAAACTATCATTGATATCTGATAATTAAACAGTTAGTAAAAAAAAAAAAAAAAAACTACCAAACTACATAATAAAATGAAATACTTGACTGAAAGTAGGGGAGTTTGATGTGGTGCACAATTGCACCCCTCTGTAAATAATCGAATAGTCCATGGCGTGTCATGAATGTTTTTGCTTACCTCGGCTAAATATTTGCCAATACTAAATGGAAAAATACCGGTGGAGGTTGGCTGAAATGGACATAATGAACCAATCAGAACTGATAATTCATGCTTGTTATCCTTCGTGTGCTTGACCTATGACCTTACAATCGCGTGGCAAATTGCGTCCAAAGTTCGACTTAATTGTTGCACATGTGTTATATAGGCGATGGCGAGCTGGCGACCTATTTTGATCAAATTACGGTGAGTGAACTTTCAAAAGTCAATGGGACATGAGGGTTCAAATGAAAGAGCTATAGTGTTAACGTACGTTAGGGTGGGTGTGCTTTTCGTTTAAACAAAAAATGTTAAGGATTTTGGGGGTAAAAGTCCATAGGCTAACATGTTAGGCTGCTGGACTCTGACGATAGGGGGCGTTGTCCAATGACACTAATCGGAGCTATATGGGTAAATGTGAAGAACACGTGATGACGTATGCTGTGGCACAAACGGCCATCCATACTAGCATGATCATGCATAGTATAAAAATGTCGTCTAAAAATCCGGCTTCGGGGTGCCCTGCGTTTGGCCATACGCTTGCAAATTTTCGTGGTAAAAAAGGACGGTAGGGGGGGGCGAAAAGCAGTCTGAAAAAATGACGTCATAGCCTATACGTGTTATAACTGGGTGGAAACTCAGCGGAATTCGTATAGTGACAATTTTTTTTTTTTTTTTTTTTTATTGCGGTCAGTAGAACCAGCGCTCAAGATACACGGGGGCGATGGGCGATTCGCCCCCGTGAGCTCCATAATCGCCCCCGTCAGGTTGCCCACGGGGGCGTTTGCAAAATTAAAAATCGCCCCCGTGGAAATATAAAATAACGATTATCTTTTCTTATATAACTTTAACACAATATATATATTATATCAATTTTCAAACCTTAAACCAATGAAATGGAACTTAGATGGCGCTTTCTCTCCCATCTCTATGAGTATTACCGATACAAACAACGGAAGCTCGCAGTGCACAGCTAATGCGGCCGTCATACTGCGCCGGTAGTACCGGTGTGCACGCTGACGCCCAATATCTGCTGGAGCTGGAGACGATCGCGCAAGGACTGAAACATAGAGAAGTTTTTCGTTGTTTAAAGTGTGAATCCTCTGGAATCTGGTTGTTCTAAAAGACCAGCAAATAATGTAACTCGACCAATAAATCAATATTGAGAAGAAGATCAGCAAAGATGTTGCGGGGGAGGATCTAGGCGGTTTAGGGGGTTTAACCCCCCGATCCCCCTTGGGCTGCCAAGTGAAAATGTGATGTGTCCAGACCTACACAGTAGTAGTAGATGTCAGTAGATGCCAGGAAAACATCACTAACGAGGGTTCAAAATAGCACCAAAAAATCGCCTCGCGGCTCGTGGACGATGCTCCGCATGTCAGTAGATGCCAGGAAAACATCACTTACGAGGGTTCAAAATAGCCACAACAAAAATCGCCTCGCCGCTATGCGGCTCGTGGACGATGCTCCACATCGTATTTGGTTTACCCCCCCCCCCCTCCCCCCCCTCCCCCCACCCTTAGCAAAAAGCTAGATCCGCCCCTGTGTTTTGGAAGAGTATGGTAACGACAAGTAAAGAAAGAATGTAAACAAGGTTGCTCCGAATAATAAGGAGGACATTATGTGCAGAACGGGAAGAAATGGAGAGAATGTCATCACGGGCAGGTGCGGATCCAGGATTTCTTAGGGGGGCCCAAATTTGAAATTATGCGAGCCCAATATCAAGGGGCCCGCCTTAGGGCCCTCGGTTGGGTCCAGGGCCAGAGCCCCGGAAGCTCAGGGGTTTTAGGCGTTTAATTACGGTTAATACCTTATTTTGGTGTGTCACTGGAAGTTAACTATTTTTTCTTTCTTGCTCCTTCTTCCCCTTCTTTTCACCCTTTTTTTTCTTCTTCCTCTTTTTTGGTCCCTTTTAGCTCTCCTTTTTTCCTTTTCCTCCCTTTTCTCTTTTTGTTTAGCGGGGGCGGGGGGGGGCAAAGGCCTTTTGCCCCACCCCCATCCCGATCCGCAACTTGTTGGCGGGAAAATTGCAACTGATATTCCCCTTCTTTTATTTACTTCTTTCTCAATTTTCCTTCCCTTTATCTCCTCTTCAGTGACTGGTCCCTCAGAAACTATTGCTAAGCCAGACACAGAGAATTCATGATTTCAACTGATGCCTGTCAGTACATTGTAAATCTGATTTTTCTTCAAATTTCATTTAAAAATCTTTTCATATTTGATAAATATGGTGCATTGGCATATGGGCTATGGTTGGAGCGTTGGATGCGTTGAACAGCGTTGGTGTATTATGTGGATTTATCATATTCATATTTAGAATATTTTCAGCGAATATAATAATATTGAAAAGGATGCAATTCATAGTTGTACTCGATAATTCTCACTTAACATATTCTCTCTCTCTCTCTCTCTCCCTGTCTTGCATAAAGAAAATATGAAAATTATATTTTGCCTTGATTAAGATAAATTGAAAATTTTATCAGTATTAAACAGGGAGAAGGAAAGGGGAGGAAATTAATCAAAACAAACACTGAAGAATCCAATTCAGTGTTCTTTTTTGATGCATAAGAATGAAAGTACATTAAAAGGTGAAATAATAAATTGAAAAGCGATGATAAATCAATTCTTTGACGTTGATTGATTGAATAAAAAATAATGAAACAATATGGTCTGAAGGTCATATATCTTCGAATATTAGAAATTTTCATCCACCATCATATTGTTGAACACTATTTGCATTTTAATTTTAATGCGGTGACTTGTCGGTTACGAGCAGAAGGTCATTTCAGGCTTCTATATTCTATAATACTATCAACAGATATCTGGATAGAGACACTTCGTCACATCAAGCTATGAGAAAGTATATCATCATCTCACAGAATTCTACTCGAACACCGCATCGAAATTCTTTTGACCCTTGTTTTTCTTCATCTTTTTGGGTCCCTTTTAGCTCTCCTTTTTTCCTTTTCCTTCCTTCTCTCTTTTTTTTTTTAGCGGGGGCGGGGGAGGCTACAGCCTGGGAGGCAAGACCCTTTCGCACCCCCCCCCCCCGATCTCCTTCTTCCCCCTTTTCTTTTCTTCTTCCTTTTCTTTCTTTCCATTTCTCTCCTCTTTCCCTTTCCCTTCTTTTCCTTCCCTCTCTCTCTCTCTCTGTCTCTCTCTCTTTTGCGGAAAGGGGGGGGGGGCAAGGCCCGCTCATCCCCGCTAGATCCGCGCCTGCATCTACATTATATCTACTAACGTTAGACCCTAATAATGGATCTAGAAGATTGATTGACCTGGTCTCAGTGACTTCGTCTAACCATGAAAACCGTCTAATTTTCGTCTAATTTTACTTTAGATTTTCAAACAGTAACAGTTACAACCTACATTAGGCCTAAGGCCAAGGGCTGTACTCTACATTTTAATAACAAATTAACGTTAACGTTAGACTTAACTTAAACTGTTGTTTCTCTGTGATACAAAAGGGAAAGGAACACTTTTTTTCACCAACAAAAAAAATCTTTCCCCTTTCTTTTTTCCTTCTTCCCCCCCCCCCCCCTGGA